TACTATTTAAAACAAATATTTATTTGGTATATTTTAAAATATAAAAATAAATATTTATTGGGTGTATATATATTTAAAAATATAAAAATAAATATTTACTGGATATAAATATATAAATTATACCTCGTTCAGGTTCAAGTCTTACTGAAATGGCAAGAGGAACGCTTGGTCTAGAAGGAAAAGGAGTGTGTGGCAGGGCCAGATCAAGATAAACAAACCGCACACATGAAGTGGGGAGTTTTTTGTTAACTGCTTTCCAGATACAGTAACTGGCAGCAGTTTAATGCAGTGGCTTTGTACAGAGCTCACCGCGGCCTTCTAATGCGATTTTCCCTCTTGCGAGGGAATGTTTCCAACTGATCCTGCTCAGCAAGGACCCCAGTATTCACAAAAGCAAACTCAAACGAGATCGTTTGACTGCTTGTGGGTGAATTGCCAGAGAGGAGAAAAGAGCTGACCCTCATTAACTGCACACAGGGGAATCTGACTCAGATTTCCCAGGTTGGTAACAAAAGCAGGCCAGAAATCAACACAATAGAGGCCTGGGAGTTGTGTTGGTTTTTTTTTCTTTTAAAGCAAAATTTCTAAATAACACCATTAATTTTAAACTGCCTTATTATGCACATTCAAAACTAATTTTAGGGGACAGATTTATCCAAGATCATCTCCTTAAGTCTGAATTTTTGTAGCCATAGCTGTCAAATTAGACTCTAGAGAGTTCTGCAATGGGAAATCACTGATGCCTCTGAACAAATTCTACATCACAGGTTCAGGCGCTTGCCAGCTGGTCTCCAGCCCTGGCCAAGAATCATTTCACATCAGAAATTTTAGAGGAGGAGAAGAGAGCGCTGGATGGAAGAAAAGAAGATCTCTTTCTCAGCTGCTGAAAGGCAAACAGGTACCCGTTTTAGAAATATAAAAATTTTCTTGTATTGAAATGGGGAAAAAGAAAGAAGAGTACCTGAGGAGGTTTGGAGCCCAGACGATGGCCAGGTTCTTAGTGTGCATATTAGTGATGGAGCAGTAATCAGCCAGCCGAGCTAAGTGTCTCATTAGGAACTCCAGTGTCCTGGAAAAGAGGAGATAGGCAAATGTTCAGCACCAACGAGCAAAGCCATCCTGCAATTTACACAACAAACCCCAGTTCATTATTTTCTTTTGGTTTGACAGCTCAGAAAAAAATAACTTTTAAAATGTTGTACTTGATAAATGTTGTCTGTAGCAAATAATTACATCAGGGCGGGGTGAGGGGAGTCTCTCCTGCTTTGTCCCAGCTCAATAAAAACATGTCCAAGGGCTGGATCCAGCAAACACTGAGGGGGACAGGAATGATCCACATGCCACCAGCACAGCAGATCTCGAATCCATCACTTGGGGGCTGTAACAGAAATGTGCCCTTTGCACTGTAGTGCCTGTTCAGTAGGGGTGGGCAAGGATGGGGGTAAGTGGGGGAGTATTTATTTGGATACCCCAGGATCCTGAAAAGCAGCAAATTCTGAGTTCTACTTATGGAATTACTGGCTACGGGTTTCTTACACGTCTATAAGGCAGATCCAAGGCTCAACGTCCCAGGCTTCTGGTCACATTAAAAAAATAAAGGTTTTTTTATATTAAACACCCTGGTAGCACCCAGGAGGAGGAGGGAGCACAAGGGGGTAATAAAAATGCTGCTCCCTCCTCCTCAGGGTGCTGGCCCAGGCTCGTGTCTGTCTCACTGTGTGTTCTTTTCCTCTGGGGGAGGTGGGGGCTTCGGTGCTCAAAATTCCAAATGCCCCAGGCCTGACCTGAAGAGGGATGGTTCCAGCTGGAGCCCAAAGGGACAGCTCCAGCACACAGGCTGGGTACCTGCACGGAACTTCTCATCACAGCACAGCAGCAGAAAAATAAAGTGTTTATTTCCTTTTGTCCTCTCTCTGGTCTAAGACTAAACCCCCCCCCAGGCATCAGAGTTACACAAGTTTGTTATCCCCATAAAATCAGTCATTTTAGGGAAAAGGTGGAATGCACCCGAGGGAATTAAAACAAAACGAGGGAGACTAAGGGGGCAGGGCCTTGAAAAGCACCTTCTCAAAAATAAACTAAATAAAATATTACAATTACTTAATTACAGAGTACCAGCTACCACACTAATTAGTTATTTAGATAGCAAGTAGCACACACTTATAACTTGTTAGTTAGCCATTATAATTAAGACTAATAATGATATAAGTTATTAATATTCAAATAATAGAATTAGTTATTTATACCACTCAGGTGCAGTATCATAATTGTCTAGATTTCACCACACAATACTTAATATTTAAATATATTAACAAATTATTATGAATAGTTATCAATATCTAAATAACTATCTTCACACTGTACAACTGGTCACTCAGGGTACAGAATCACAACTCATTCTGCAAATACATTGTAATAATAAACTGCCATGCTAATTGATGATTATAATAATGTATTATATTAATCATATAATGTATTATATTAATCTATGGTTATCATAACTGACCAGCCACTGACCATAAAGTGATATGGCAATTAACAACTATCATAAGGTGTTATAATTGGATATTTATAGTCAAATACACTATAGTCACCTAAACCACTCAGGACACAACTGGTCCAGCTAATTACAATAGTTATTGATATTTAAATAACTTTCAATATACATTGTAATTAATATACCAATTACAATACATAATTGGTCAAAACTACTTGCATTAATTATTAATACTATTTAATTATCACAGTATTATAATTGGTTATTAATACCAATCAATTACCATACTTTTCATTCCAATGTCTATTTACCATACCCTGCCATAATTTTTAATACTAAAGAGCATTAATGTGGTGTTATACTTAGTCAAGACTCATTACCATATAGTAATGAATATATTATTGTAATTGGTGGTTTTTAAACACTGCATTATAATTTGTTATTCTACTACAGCATTGTTATAATTTGCTGTAATTGTAATTATTATTGCTGGGGGGAAACTGGAGACAAAATACACTTGACCACATTAAACTGAAGGCCTGAGAATTTTTTTGTCTAAGTTTCCTTTTTTTAATTGTGATTCCCAGAGCTGGTGCTGTGCCCTCACCAATAACCATCAAATAAATTTCCTTAGTGGCATCAATCAGCCACTCCTGACATAAGGAGCTTGTGTTGACCTCCTGTACGCAGTTTCCAAGGAAGTCAAATAACAAACTATATCTATACAAACTATATAATGTTTGGTAATGAGCTAATTAATTAAAATATAAATCAACTTTCTAAATATTAAAATGGTTTATGGCTACAGAGGCACAGAGCAGCTATCTCGAGAGGGAGAACTGGAATTGCATCAGGTCACCCCAGCAATAATAAAACACTGAGCAGCACGCAGAGAAAAGGCTGCACTGACCTGTAGTGGGGAGGGGGCAGCTGCTGGATGACATCGTGGATCTTCACCAGCCGCTCTTCATCTGTAGCAGCAGAAACAGCGTCCTGGAACAAGGCAGGAAGGGAGTTAGCTGCAAATAAGAGCAGATACCTGCCACAGCATCTCGAACCGCGTGGCTGACGCGCTGTTCTTCGGTGGCAGCACAAACCCCAGTGGTGTCAGGCTGGTCCTGTTGGAGACGGGCGCTTCTGCTCGCTCTAAAAACCCCACCGCAAGCAGAAGTACGAGACAGCAAGGTGTGTGGCAGCAGGTTCAGCTCAGTTCTCTGTTCAACCTGTGCAGACGATGTCACGCTGAAATGGAAAGTGAAAGGCATTGCCGTGTACTTACTGAGAACTTCTCGTAGAGTTGATAGGTCAGCAGAGGGTTCGGGAGTTCGCGGAAGTAGAGTTTGCAGAGGGAGCCCACGCAGTGAATGTCTTGGATGTAAATATCCTTTGTCAGGTCGGGAATCTGCTCTGAGTCAAACTCGTGTCTGGAAAGGAGAGAAGAAAAATGAGCATGTTGCAAGTACACTGATAAAATAATCAAAATTGGATTATATAGAAGAGCTGGTTCAATTAATAAGTAGAAAACTGGAAAGCCTAATGTGTAAGTTCAGATTGTTAGTGTTAAACCAGGTAATCACAGAAACCTCACCAAGAAGAAACTGCAAAGTCCCAGGCCTGTTCTAATCATTAACTTAGCACTGGAGTTAAGAACAATGTATCTATCTCCATCATAGAACTTCAGAAATCAAAATTAATTACCTTATAGTTCATAGCAGCACTAAGACTCTTTGTTTTACTGATCACTGGGATGTGACACGAGAACGTGTTGAGTCAACTCCTTGGGACACGGCAGACAGAGGTGGTGGGGACAGGCCCAAGAAAGACCCGAGCACGCACAAAGGAAAAGTACAACCCAAGGAAACAGTGATGAGATCACCAGAGAGAGAGCGTGCATGTGAAAGGGACATTTACATATATTAATAAGTTCCTGGAAATGTAATGAATATGTTAATGACATTGGAAAATAAATGAATATGCATATTTCAATGATAGAAAGCTTTTGTGGAGAGACAAGTCGGTACACATGCGATCAGATGGAGCAATCCCCTGTGCATCCAGCGCCGTAATAAAGAAGTGTGGCTTCTTAAGACTACACTGGAGTCAAGAAGTTCATTCCAATTTTGATGACACAAAGGGGTTTGAAAAGGAAGAATGAAAATAAAAGTTAGTGCAACCTGCAGTCAAGAAAAGCAAGGGTTTCCTGACTTACAGGAAAAAATAAACACTTGGTCACCACAGCCACACAGCCCTTGGTTGTGGTGCTGCTGGAGTGGATTTTTCCAAAAGATGACTTATTTTTTTTCTTCTAATAAGTGATTTTCAGTTAGTTTTACAACTGACTGATTGGCTAGTCTGCAATCCCTTCTCCTGCAACAGGGCCTTTCACAAAGTCTCCAGAAAATGTATTCCAAGACCAACAATCTGAACATTTAACAACCTGAACATTGAATCTGAGACCATCTGAATATTTAACCGGAAGGGCTGTGACAAAAGCTGCTGTCCCTTTGCATTTCCAAAGGCCTGGAAATTGCAGTGATAAAGCAATTCCCACCAGCAGTGCCCTGGGCAGCTCTGCACATGGAAACTGGCTGTGCAGAAATTCCCTGGGGACACGCCTCTGCTGCATGGTGGGGAGAGCCAGGGACCACAGGAAGAAAATCCCAAAGCATTCCCTTGGTTTTCAGAGAGAGAAAAACCCAAATCACAAACATTTATGGACTAAAAGCTGAGCTGAGAAGGCCAAGGGCTGGCTCGCTGTTAGAGTATGAGCATGGAAATGCTGTTCCAGATTAGCCCGGGCTGGCACAGTGAGAACACGGCTGCTCCAAGATGGAGCTCTGTTTCCTACCAGGGTCTTTCAGCCGTGAACCAAAACTTCTTCACCATCTGCGCGGGGAGTCAGCCTGTCTACACCACCACAGCAACAGCGGGGGCTTGGTGGCAACATCCCTGGCTTCTCCTCTCTCCTCTTCAGACAAGAGGGTGAACACTCCACGCCAGTTCCTCATCCCAAAGACAGCACAGAAGGAGGAAACACAGGTCTCTGCCACAATCCTCAGCGTTCAGTATATGACGCTCCCACAAGCACGTTCTGACTCACCACTTACTCATATCTGGGAGAGAAACTTATTTCCTGCGCTTGGCTCCAGAGAAGGAGAGAGATCTCAGACCAGGGAGCAACACCAACCCACCCCACACATATACCCTCAGCCTCGGCTGACGTTCTCTGGCCAGATCCTGCCCTTCCCCAGTACTCCTGGTGCTCCAGTAAATCTCACGCCGTGTCAGAGACCCCCCCTGCAGAAGCAGAAGATGAAGAAAGGGAAGCCCTACATTCAGCCCTTTTTCTCTCTCTCTGCACTGGCCACTTCGAGAACTACATGTTATTTCTTTTGCCCCCAAAGGAAGATTTGGTTAGGAGAAGAATACAACTTCACAGTTCCTCAGAAAAAGCCAGAATACAGGGACACACACCCCAACAACCCTCGCTCTGCCTACCAGCCAAATAAAGGCAGCTGCTAAAGAGCCAACCTCTGTCCTGGAGCACATCTCCCATGTGGAACACATCCTCTCACTTTCTCTCCAAGCAAAAAGCCCTTTAAATCCAGGGAGATTCAATTCTTCTGTGTGAAACTCAAGAACAGTGACTCATTTCTAAGGACACTGCAGCTCTAGCTTTGCAATAAGCCTAATGATCTGTTTATATAGCTGGAAACTACGGCGATGCAACGTGTCCTACGTTAATCAAACACTGATGAAAATCTGCAGTGATTTAGATGAACAGCAAGGACAGCGTCTACAAGTTCTGCCATGCACACCCTTCCTTTTGTCTTTGGAACATCTCAGAAAATTGAAAAATAAGCTGTTGCTTCATTCCCTCTGTTATACCAGGGAATTATGCCATTGCAAGTCTTAGAAAACCATTTTTAAAGAACTTTTGGAGAACAGCAAAGGAGAAAATGGTCCTGGCAACACAAAGGGTAAAAATTGGACCAGGGCAGCAATTAGAAAGATGGTCCAGCACAAGTCACCAGCAGGGAATTAAAGGAAGGACAAAGACTGTGCTCAGCCAGGACTGCTGTGGGCAGCAGCTACAGTCAGAGTCTTTGGAGCCCGTGTATCAAACCCTGGAGAGCAGAGTTTTAAAACAGAACTTGCTGTGATGAGAAACAGGGTTAAGCTGAACCAGAATAAGCTCATCCACACCAGGGTTTGTACAGTAATGGGACCGGCTCAAACCCATCCCCTGAACTTGGGAAGAGCTGGCACAAAGAGGATTTCTGCTTCGTATTACGGAAAATACCCTTTGGTGCCTCTGCGAGGCCGTGGGCCCAGGATCAACACTGGAATCAGTCACATCCCGCTAGGTTCTCTCAGTCCCTTCACAACAGAAAAATGCAAACCAAACGATGAGAGGAAAATGAGCCTCACCAAGGGATAAAGACCATTTAACTGCGATGGGAACAGCTCCTCGATGGGGAGGACACACACCCAGCCTTTCCCCGCATGGCTGCACAGCGTGGCAATGCCACCCACCGAGAATTACACAAGTATTCCTTGCACATGACCAATTCATTGCTAATAGGAGTCCAAAGCAGCGAGGAAAGAGATCAGCTGCTCAAAGGGCTCCGGGAGCAAGAGGGAACAGCAATGAAAGGTGACAGCACAGTGACACCACGATCCCAGAGCCTCGATACTCTATCCTGAAGGAAAACTTCCTGCCAAATGAGTTCTACTGAACAACCCGTTGTTGCTCCAGAAGGGTGGCAAACCCGAGGGACCATCCACGGAGTAACAGCCGAGCTGGAGCTGCTGGGAGGCTCAGCCCCGCAGCGCGGGCTCCTGCACGCACAGCCGCTGACCCCGCGCGCGCCTCCTCCGTCCCCGCAAACCCGCCTGCCACGCGCAGCGCCCTCACCGCAGCTTCTGGATGTTGGAGGCGATCCCAGACAGACGGTATATCCCATCCACGATGCCATGCTTCTCAATGAATTCAGTGCAGCTCTTGAGGACCTGGGGGACTGAAGAACAAGTGGTGTTGGTTAGTTGAGGATATTATTAAAGTCCTAGTTCAGGTTGTGGTCTTGTCAGATGCCAGAAACTAAGCCCAGCTGGGCTACTGCTTTAGTTCTTCCTTGGAGGCGAAAGGCTGTAAGAAATTTAACTTAGGAGCTACTGTGGAAACTGGTCAGAGGTGTTTTTTACTTTAAAGAAATGCCAGGTTATGAATCAGGTTGAAAAAAGTCAACTCTGGTCAAGCAGAGACAGTGCAGGTCCCGTTGCAACTCTCACAAGAACTGTGGTATTAAATTCCTTCCCAGAAGAGCTGTGAAATTGAGTAAATACCCTCTTTGGCCAAAGACTTCCCTTGTTTTCAAATCTATGCAGGATTTATCTGTACTGCTTGGTTTAAGCAAATACAAACATTAAGGAGATGCTGCTTTCTGCAGCAGGAGAGTTTTTACAACTGATAATTTCACCCCCAATGTCTACCGGAGCGTGACTGATAGCGACAGTGTACAGCACTCACAGAAACTGCAGCAGAGCAGGGCATGACAGAATGGAAAAAATAAACCCAGAGGACATCATTAGGTGTCAAGTTAATATTCAAGCCGCTTCACCAACCGATTCCTCCCAGCTGACTTCTCAGCCTCATGCAGCATCCACTGCCAGAGCTATCTGTCCATCCTCGTCAGCTTAAGAAGGAGCAAATTATTTATAAAAGGGAGATAAAACTGCCCTGGACACAGAAAGAAAATTAGGATTGAGCTCCTGTGAGCAAATCTTCAAGGAACAAGCTCAGATCCGTGTGGATTCCTCTGCAAGTCACCTTTTTGCTACAGCTCCTATGATGATCGCGATTTATCCTTACATTAGACGCCAGGTCTGATCAATTTGCCACGTGACACAGATTCTGAACAGGTCGTGTGGCAAATCCCCTTACACCGAGCAGCAGATGCCATCTGCCAGTCAGTTCTCCTAAGTCCTGCTGAGCTCACATGCTCTGTTCTTTCCCCTCCCCAGCTGCTTCTCTGCGTTTTTTTCCAGCTTGCAGCAAACACTCGCACAGCTCAAAAAAAGACTCGTTTCACATGGCTCCCTGGAAATCTGCAGGTGCATCCTGGGCTGAGGACACTGGAGCACAGGAGAACAAACCCTCTACCTCTGTCAGTCACGCAGGCTCAGCTCTGCTAGATCAGGTCCCGGGCCTGCGATACCCAAAGACACCAAGAGACAGTAGAACTGAGCCAGTCCAGCTCTGCTGTTACGCTACGAGGTGTTTACAGCATCTCACGCTGTTTTCCAAGGCAAGGTGCAGACTTTGGGGCAAGCAGAGCCCTTGTACCTCAAGCAATGGTAGAGAAAGAGCCTTGGAAACCAAATCCTGCTTTTTGGGGAAAGAAAAACAACCGAGGTGATCACCTTCTGCTCTCCCTTGTAGGTGCAATGGAAATTCAACTTCCACTAATGCACCCAGAAGACGTTTGAAGAAGGAAACCTCAGCACCCACTGTCAGCCTTGTGAGCTCAGGATGGCACAACTGCTGGCACTGGGAATCAACCAGACACACATTTAGGCACCTGAGCCAGGAGAAGCAACAACTTCTCACCAATTTGGAGAGCACGTTGGTAAAATGTGCATCAGTCACCCACAGCACCGCAAGCTGCAGGTCTGAGAGCAGAGCAGGCAGAGCAGATGGCCCTCAGCGCCAACAGCGTTTCAAAAAACGTGTTTGCAGGACAACGCTTACCCCTTAACACAAAAAGATTCAACACCTCTTGAAGAATAACATCTTTAAGGCTTTACGTCAGTGCACAGGGGTGGAGTTGTATGATACTCGAGCAGTCACCAAAACCAGCTAAAATAGGTTCTGCGTTGCACTACAGCGTCAGGAGACAACTGAGACCCAGGCAGAACACAGGCAGACACAGCTGGTGGTTTCTTTTCTTCTGTGGCGATGCGCACGGGGACAGCATCTCCTGTTCCTCACACACCAGGACCCCCCGGGAGGCCTGTGCCACAGGGAGCGGACTGCGCGTGTTTCCAAGGCCCTTCTCCTCCGGGGCTGATCTAGCTGCGCAAACAAACAGTGGTAAGAGTGGTGGTTATCTGCCAGCTCAGCTGTCACAACCTGTTGTGACAATGGGAGACTGGTCACGGGAGAACAGGGGACACAGCACCAACAATACACTCGTGTTTGTCATGGAAGATCTTGGGCACAGTTAGAATAATTAACATACACTGAAATAATTCCAGCAGGCTTGTTCTGTGCGTTTCCTAACCTGGTTACCAGGACGATCTGTTCTTTAAGCTAAATATATCGTGCCAGCACCACAGATATTTTGGGGGAATTCTGCCTGGCTGGAGAAGTGACTGAAATTCAAGTAGGGCTGTAATTGGACTTGAAGTCCCTTTGCTGGAATGGTGACGTGATTTTTCAACAAAGATGACACCTGACAACTACATGCGTGTTTAACCTCCCTCTCCCCTTTGACTCCCAAGCCCTTCAGCTGAATATACATTTATATATACAGATATATGCACGTATGGAGGGAACAGCGTCTGTTGCCACCAGAATTAAACAGCAGGATGGCAGCACAAGCTAAGACTTAACTTTGCAAACGTGAAGTGTGCCAAGGCCACCAGCTACAGGGGCTTCTGACATCACCTTGTGACTTTTTCAGGTTCCCGTCTCTGCCGATGGCACAAATCCCTCCCCTGTGCAGAGCTGAACCTCTCAGCGCCCGGTTCCTGACAGCCAGCGCCAGCAGGTCACTTTGGGACAGACACAAGGACAACCAAGCACACGGGATCTTCCTCCAGCCCCAACAATCCTCTGTGCAGAAACCTCTGTGCGCAGAACCGGGCACGCAGCCCTTCCAGTTCCATGTTCCCAGTAACAAAACCGTGCTAATACCGTCGGGTTTATTCCTTCCCTGAGTAACACGGGCTCCAACCACGGACTCTCTCTGCAGTGAAGTCACTAAAACCCACTGTCAGGGGATACATCTGAACAGCCACCTCTTCAGGAGAACCTGAGCACCCTACACATCTCCCGTTCCAAAATGAATCCCCCTCCCTCCCTCCCCGACTCTAATAACAGGGAGTTCCAGGAAACAGAGGCTGGAAACGTGGATGTATCAACAAAGGAGCCTTTAGCAGATTTCATCACCCTAGCAGCTCCAGGAATTTTTTCAACTCATTCCTGAGCATCTCTCAGCCGGTTTGAAAGGTTTATTGCATCTCTTAGGGCTCGTTAACCGGTTAATTCTTTGCCATTAAGAGGAAGCAGAGATTTTATGGTTTGCATTCTGAGGAACATTTTGATTCATCTTGAAATCAGGCACGTTTCCTTTCCTATCACCTTGGTTTCCATTTTTCCTTTTTAATCTCTTGTAACATTCCCTCCCTGCGTTTTGGGAGGCTTGCTTTATTTTTATTTATTTTTTTTTTATTTTCTTTGCACGTTACTGGAATCAGAACTATTTGTTCAGCCTGGGGAATGAGGCCTCCCATCAAGCTCCCCTCCAGCAACCTCGTTTTCACAATATTACAGCAATAAGGTGAAGTGCCGCGCCAGCCAGGCCTTTTGGCTGGTTAATGGACCATGCAGCTGCTCAGCTGAATTCCACACATAGCCAACAACCGGGGACAGCCAAACCTGCAGCCCGGCAGGGACGAGGGAAATGAAATGAACTGTCCTGAGCGCCACTCTGAACCGCCCAAAGGAGGTAATAACCGCGGTTTAGTTTTATAGTTATACTGAGGAAGCATGTGAAATAAACAGAACTGAGTGAAGAACAAAACAGAAGGTTAAGGGCGACGTTTAGAGCCATGAGAATATGAATTTAAACAGTCAGGTATGAGATAAAGTTCAGGTGGAGGCAGCTGAGGAAGGACGGGTGCGTGCGGAGGACAGAGCACCCCGAGAACACCCAGGACGATACAAGAGGTGACACCATGATGGGCCCCTTCCTCGGGGTTCTGTGACTGAGTGGAGACTCTGACAACTTCTCGACATCTGAAATGAGCCCAGTAAATCCTGCCTCCTTTGAACACATGGTTATGGAAAAACCTAACAATGCATAACCTCACCTGAAGAAATACAGTTGCTTTTACCCCAAATCATTCTTCTTATTTTTAGCTCAATTTTGCAACAATCTATCCAAGTCTTTCTTTAAAAAAAAAAATAAAATCACAAAAAAGCCCCCCCCAAAACCCACAAACAAGCAAACAAACAAAACCCCACAGTAAAATCCTGTAATAATTCAGACTGTAACTTCTTCTAGGAACCAGCCCTGGGTCGGGGCAACCCCAAGCACAAATACTCAATTCAAATGACTCATTTCTGAAGGTCTTGTGTCCACCTTACAGTGAAAGTCAGACAGAAGGTGCAAACCAGCATGGGACAGAGGTTAAAGATTTCCTTTTGATTGCCCTAGAAGGAGCTCCCTGACACCCAGTCAGTCACCTGCATGTGTCATTTTATAAGGACACAGAACCACCACCCCCTGCACATTCATTAAAAAAAAAACAACAACAAAAAAACCAAACAACACAAACTTTAAAAGATCCTCTTCTAAGGACTTTGGTCTCCCTCCTAAATCCCTGTTTGAATCACCAGGAGTACGACAGACGTACAAGACCAATCAAACAGCAAATTGCCTTCAAGAGATTCTCTCTTCCCAGGTTCCAAGAAGTGACCCACGTTAAAATTATTGGCGCTGCTGCTGAGTAAAGTCCGAGGCCGCTGTCACCAGCTGCACTATTTCCTGGTAACGTGCAACCTTTTTATTTGCAGCGTGACTTCTGCACTTGGGAAAGTGCAATAATGGAAGAGGGGCCATAAACCATGAGTCGGCCCCCAGTCGCAGTGCCCGATTCTGGAACCGGCCTCCGGCACCAGACTCTGCTTTTTAAGACTGGACTTTTTTCTGGCAGCTGCCCCAGAACCGCGTAAAAACAAAGTGCAAAGTTCAAGCTGAGCAACACCAACCCCCCGGTGTTGCATCAGGCTCAG